CAACCTTCATTTCAATGTTTGTGGGGGTTTTTTGCCAATTTTCTCATATTATCCCTTCACAGTAAAGATGAAAAAATAATGATATTCTTTATTAAAATCTTAGAAATGGATAAATAATGGGAAGATTCAATTGAGAGGAAAAACCCAGACTCCTTTCAATCCAGGAAGAGTGGATTTCCCAGCGTTCTGCCTCTGTGGAGTCCAAGGCTCCCACTGGAGGACTCAGCCTTGCCATCCTCTCAGGAACAGGCATCTGTATGGGGTATTTTAAATGTAAGCAGCACAAGAGTTGTTATACCAACCGCTGTCATCCAAATAAAACTTCAGCCATCCACATCTTGACACCAGCTGTTTCTGTTAAAGGAAAAAGTGTAATCATTTTCTTGCAAGGATTCTTGCATGATAGTCATGAATCTATGTCGATTATGTCTCTACTCAATCTAGTTAACCGTGATCATGACTACCAGAATTAAAATAAAATATATTATGGAGTCAGTTCTCCTTTCCGTACATATAACTTGACCATCCTCAGCAAACATTTAGGCACAGCCTGAGGAAACCTGAAGATGTTTTACAGAAACTCTCTGAACCAAAAAGGAATCAATCAAAACATATTTAAGAAGCATTATAATCGGCCTTGAGGGGGAAATGAATGTACGAGCAGTCTACACGTGAGACTAGGTTATCATTAACATTTATTTGTCTTTTCTTGAGTTAGCAAGAAATATAGACAATGTTATTGTGTGAAATACTCAAGCTAGCCCAAGAAAAGCCATTTTAATCAATTACATATCTGAAATAAAAAATTGATCATCTAAAAGAAACTGATCATGACATCGAAAAGTGCCTCAATATTAAATTGGTTTCCAGTTCCAACTCAGTATGCCTGAGCCAGTGACTCTTCTAAGTCTCCAGTTATCTCCTTCTTCTGTCACTGCCCAACAGGAGCTGAACAGCCCTACCCCAACACAGTACCAGCTGGGATTTCGGGGACTTCAGGGCTATTATTAGGAGCTTATTAATTGGCCCCAACTCCCAGGATAAACTGGGAATCCTGGGATCTTGTTGTAGTCATTGTTTGGGGACCCATCTCTGTCTCACCTGGTGTTGTGGACTGACTGACATCTCCCACCCTCAAAATTTATATGTTGAAGTCCTAACGCCCAACACCTCAGGAAGTGATTACATTTGGATATAGGGTCTTCCAAGAGATAATTAAGGCAAAATGAGGTCATATGGGTGGGTCCTAATCCAATATGACTGGTATCCTTGTAAGAAGAGATTAGGACACAGACACACTCAGACCAAGGGACAACCATGTGAGGACACAGAAAGAAGGAAGCCACCTGCAAGCCAAGGAGACAGGCCTGAGAGGAAACCAACCTGCCAACACCTTGATCTTGGACTTCTAGCCTCCAGAACTGTTAACCTCTTTCTGTTTTCCAAAGGCTCTAAAGACTATCAAGTTCCCAAGATTGTTTCAAACAGGATTTCTCTCTTCACTAGCAGTAAAATACGATCCAGACCTTTCCTTAAATGACTGCCCCGGGTAAAGCACAGCATTTTTTGATGTGTGTTAAGAGTTTTGATCAGTAGGAACAATGGGGAAAAATGAAGTCCAAGATTGTTTTTCCTCTTAATTCGGTAATTTCTTGTGAGAATGGGAATTCCTTTCTGATACTAAAAAACTCTCAGACTCCTACATGATATCTGCTGATTGATGAAATACAAAATGTCAAAAGGCTACTATGTATTGAGTAATGTGTTTATTTTTTTGAGCATTTTTTTTATTTCAGCATATTATAGGGGTACAAATGTTAAGGTTACATATATTGCCCCCTCCCCCCCTCCCCATGTGTTTAGATAATGTTGAGTATTGGGATTCACGGTAATATGCATATTCAAGTAGCATTACCTACTTTATAAGCTTGGCATACAAACATAGAAATAACTTTTTTGATTTTTCGATTAACCATCAAATTTCCATGGGCTTCTATTAGCAAAAGTTCCTTAAATCCTATTAATAATGCTGGGCCTTACTTGGAAAAAAGATACCAAGTCCTCCTTGGAAACACCAAGTAGAGCAATAACTGTAAAATCTTATCAGTTTGTGATCACTGCCCATTGCTATTGAATGGTTGCTATTGAACAATGATGCTCTATGGTACAAGGAACACTAATGTGGTGCACAGTGATGCCCTTGCTATTCTGATTCCTCCATGCTTCCTCTAACAAGACTCCTAGTACACTCAATCATTCTTTCCCAAAGAGTGGCAGGACTTACAGGTACATCCTAGCTCAGACACATGCTGCTCTAGCTCTAATCTCCTATAAAAACACCTGGATCCCTATTGACACATGGTTGCCAGCAATTTCTCTTGTAGTGACATCCTCTCTAGAACTTTTGGCATGCTTTAGCACCAACTAGTGTTAGACTGAGTCACCTTTGTCCACCCAAGCAGGTTTCCCTAACTTCTAATCTCAGGGATAAGAGGTTGAGATCTCACACCTAACACTCCCAAATAATAGCCTAGCTTCGGATCATCTTTCTTCTTAAAGACTAACTCTAAAAACCAAGAGGCCAGGGGCCTAAAGTGTTTCCAGTACAAGATTCCCCCAAGACAGTGGAACTCTTTTGCCTAGCAACTGCTTAACTAAGAAGAATCACTCACGTAAATCCTCCCATAATTAGAGAACTGTGTTGCAAGGTGATTTGCAATTTCTCTTTTTGCACATAGAAGCAATTAACTAGTAATGTATTATTTCAACTACTGCAAACACACATATGAAAAGGACCTATGAATAAATAATTTTATATTATATATAAAATGCCATCTTATTCTGTAAAATACTGGCAAGCTCCCAAGGGGAAATAGCCAAATTACAGGAGATGTATTATGATGTATTATGTATTGCTATATATATTAGTTATTCAGGATGCACACACTGTTTGGTGTACTTGTGATATCCCCTGGTTGGGAACCACTAACTTAGGTCCTGTAGGGTAAAAGAGAGGTGACAATGATAGACATTTGAGTTGGCACTCCAGCGGGAAACCTCAGTCTGTGTCTTCTGCATATTTGACTACAATAACAGGATGAGACGGGTAAGTACAAAGAGAATTTATGAAAATATAAATGGGACTGATTCGACCAGCTACTAGGAAATTCGGGAGCAAGAGACTGGTAGTAGTTTTAGGAGGGAAAAGAAAAAAGGAAAATTCACTGGGATTTTGCAATCTCTGCCATTTATTCTTTCATAATTTAGAAGACCTTCTGGCTTTCGAGAAGAGTAAGGTCTCTCAAAAGGAGAGGAAAGGATGGTAGACTATGAGGAGAAGGCAGTGGAAGGCACTGCAGTGAATCACCATGTAGGGTGACCATTCCTTTATAACCCTGAGACCACAGTGCAGTATCTGTTCCCTGCCCCCCAACGAGCTTTATCTAGTCAAATGAATAACACAAACACACATAGAAAGGAAAGGAATTAAGTGTTATTCTCAGTTCTTATCAAAAGTTCAATAGGGAACAGAGAAATGTGCTATGGCATTTTTCTCTCCTGCAATTTGCTATTTCCCTCAGGTATTTCTTCTCCTTGCGAGCTTCTCAGCATTTTACAGAATAAGATGGCATTTTATCTGAAAGCATTTGGTAAATGTTCTTTGAGTCTAGGAGGCTGCAATTTAACAAATGGCTTCCTCACACAAACTATAAGTATGATACAGAATGATTGACAACTATGCCAACATTTGAAAAGCAGCTAAGAGCTTCAAAGCCTACAGTAGCCAAGGCCAGAACTGGAGTTTATCATCAGCGTTGGAGATTGTGGTTTATGTTGGCAATATAAAATAAAATATCTGTCATTTTAATACAGCTCTTACAAAGATTTTTAAACATGTCATTAAACAAACATACCAGAAGGATGGGCCCAGAAGAAACCAGTTTTAGGATAACAACAATAGAATCAAAATACATTATCACCAGATAATAGCCTCCTACTGTTTGATAAAGGACTCAGCTTCTAAAGCCAAAACAAACACAGAGAGGCACAGCCAAGATGTTTGTTTTAGAAGTGGAAGACATTGATCTTATGACACATTTCTATTACAATGGTTTTATTTCTGTTACAGTCAGAGCAGGCTCTACTTACAATTATGCTGTCTAATTTCAGAGGTATTCTGCAGAAGGAAAGTTACTTGTAGTGCAGCTTAGCTCTTTTATCACCCATCTGCAGACCTAGGGAAGTCTACTGCCTTCTTCTTGACTCACTAGCTCTTCCCACCATCCCGTAAAACAGAATCTGCACCGCAGTGAGATAAAAACAAGAGCAGCCTGGCTAATTTAAAGAAGATGTATGAGGGGTGGGGGAATGTTTCGAAGTGATATTTTTTACTGCAGTTTTTTTTTTTTTATTTCGGCATATTATGGGGGTACAGATTTTAAAGTTTCAATAAATGCCCTTCCCCCCTCCCCCCCACAAGTCTGAGTCTCCAGCATGACCATCCCTCAGATAGTGCGCCTATCACTCATTATGTATGTATATACCTGCCCCCCTCCCCCCCCTCCCCAATACTCTATTACTGTAGTACCTATGTGTCCACTTAGGTGCTACTCAGTTTTTTACAAACTCATGTTCAAAACTGAGATCCTGTACCTATCTCTTCAGCAGAGCTCAGGACTTGCTTAGAGAGGTCATTAAAAGTGATTAAAGGCCATCTTCACTTTCAATGCTTTAGAGTTTGGTTTTTGTTTGTTTTTTTGTTTTTTGAGACAGAGAATCTCACTTTGTTGCCCGGGCTAGAGTGCTGTGGCATCAGCCTAGCTCACAGCAACTTCAGACTCCTGGGCTCAAGCAATCCTTCTGCCTTAGCCTCCCGAGTAGCTGGGATTACAGGCATGCACTTTATGCCTGACTAATTTTTTCTATATATTTTTAGTTTGCCAATTACTTTCTTTCTAGTTTTTAGTAGATACAGGGTCTCGCTCTTGCTCAGTCTGGTTTCGAACTCCTGACCTTGGGCAATACTCCTGCCTTGGCCTTCCAGAGTGCTAGGATTACAGGTGTGAGCCACCACCGAGCCTGGCCCTGCTTTAGATATTTATGTGTATTTACAGTATGAAAGATTGTCTGGCCTGTGCCCTTGGAGTGTTATTAGCATAACTGATAATAGCTTAACTCTTTCTTCTCCTCTCACCCCATGCTTTACTCACTGTTCTCAGAGAGATTCTTTTCTTTTTTTTCCCCATCAAACCTTAGTTAGTTCTGGTTTCTGCCCAGCCCAGATGAACCTTTATATCTTCCTAATTCTTGTAATCAGAGCCAATCTATAGAATGGGCGGGAAGTATTATTGAAAGAGTGTTGGATGAATTAAACTGCTCAATATCCCTCCCCCATCTGACACTTCCACTACCTGCTGTGCCTTTGCACACATTTTATTCAACCCGAATAGGTGACCCACACTGGGCCTTTCAAAGCACTCAGTCCATCGGCAGATATCAGGTAGCAAATATATTGTAAACACTCTCATGGGCTAAGCCTTGTACAAGACAACAGTGAGATGAAGATGGATGAGGCAGAGACCCAGACACAAAGAAGTTCGCCATCAAGATGGGGTGAGAAACAGTCAAATGAAAAACTATAATAAATGTAGCAACACCACTCTACTAGAGAGTTCTGAATTAAATTGAAGAAAAGTCCCCAGCATTGGCAATTATATCTTAATGATGGTGATCTGTAAGAGAGCAATTTGAGGAGAGAAGATGAAAGCCAGATTACATTAGAGTTGTAATGCTTGGGAGGTTAGTGGAAAAGACAACGAACTATTCTATCGAAAATTTTGCTTGGAAATTGATAAACACTGGATGGCAGCTAATGGAATCTCAGGTGCCCTGGGAGAATTTGCTTATTTGCCTTAAAGATGGGAGAGTTGTGATCATATTTGTGGGCGGTAGTGGAAAAACTCTATGCCTTGACTGTCAGAGGAGTTGTTTCTTTTTTTTTTTTTTAAGTTTTTAAGTCAACTTTTGAAATGAAAATACTACTGGGAAGAGTAGGCTCTCTTAGTAAAATCTGTCAGTTGTCAGTTAACACCTTAGCAGGGCACAGGATGCTAGGGGGTGCCAAGAGCAGGCAGGAGAACGCCGCTCCTGACGAGGTGGGAGAGCACCCAATATCCGCTTCTTCACAGTCGCGTCTGGGAGCCGGCCAAAGAATCCCAGCTGGTCCCAATTTGACAAACAATCCTCATTCTCCTTTAATAGCCTGAAATAGAGGAACGCAAACAGGGCTCAAATTAATGTTTTTGCACATAGCTCTTCCTTGCTGAGATTAGTTTTTAAGTAAACGAGGATATAGGTTTGCTTATAGAAGCAAACAAGGGATTACAAAAATATGAGTTTGGTTATTTCAAATGGTACCAAAATAATGCACATTTTAAAAAAAATTAAAAGAATACAATAGGGGGATTGAAACTGGAGGCCACCTTAATCACTGTTATCAACCAGGTGAGGGACTTTCTCCACTTGAGCTGTGCGTTTAACCTCCACCCATGTAAACATAACACATATATGTGATGCAGTTGCCTGGCCCTCTTGCCAAGCACTGTTTTCCCTATTCTTATATACTCACATTGGCAGAAATCTGATTTGGGAAGTGCCCATCTATCCTTAATAATAATAATGACAATAATACCTAGCAGTTGCCAAATACTCCTTATATTCCAGACATGAAACTAAGCACTTGATCATTTTTTTAGTTTTACAAATACTCAACTATATTCTCATAAATAGCCAAAAACCACAAATAAAGCAAAAGTCCCCATAATCGATCATTGTTATCCTGAACCCCTCTTCTGACATGACCATTATTGCCAGTTAGGTGGATATCCTTCTAGATATTTTTTAAATGCACATAAATATCTATATGGACATACAGAAACATTTTGTTTGCTTTTTTTTGGTAACTATTACTGAACTGTAGATATTGTCTAGAACTCACATTTTTCATTTTGGTCATGCAGATCTTTCCATTTCAAACCATGTAAATCCAATTCATTCTTTTTAACATTTGCATAGGGGGCATGCTAATCCATTCTGTGGTTTTATCACAGATTAGCCAGTCATTATTTTACTGGAGGTCATTGAGATGAATTCCAATTTTACACTGTAAAAAAGAATGGCATGATAAAAAAGCTTACATGGGCCCTTTGGACACATTTGTCAGTATTTCCTTCAGTTAATGAGAAAAGTGGTTGCAGGTCAGAAAACAGAAGACATTTACCTGGCATTGATTCCTTGCTCCACATTTGCGATAGCTCTCATATCCACTCAACCTCTTGTGGGCTGGGGCTCAGACTCTGACAGAGGTGGAGCTTGTGACTCAGATTAAGGCAGGGAGCCCATCTAGCACCGCTGGTGAAAACAATAATGGGTTTAGAAGATGACGTGTACCTTCAAACTGTTCTACTCAAAATGAAACTCAGGAATTTTGATGAGAATTATGATATGCTTATTCATTTTTGCACACATACAGGAACAATGTAGCCCTGGGAGATGTCAGACACCATCTGTATCAGTTTTCTAGGGCTGCCATAACAAAGGACCACAGGCGGGGTGGCTTAAACAACAGAAATTTATTTTCTAACAGTTCTGGGTGCTAGAAACCAGGATGTAGGCAGGGTTAGCTTCTTCTGAAGACTGTGAGGTAAGGATCTGCTCCAGGGCTCTCTCCTTGTCTTACACATGACCGTCTCCTCCCTGTGTCTTCACATGGTCTTTCCTCTGTGTATATCTGTGTCCAAATTTCCCCTTTTATTAATTATCCTTAAAAGGACAACAGTCATATTGGATAAGGACCCACACTAAGGACCTCATTTAAATTTAATTACCTCTTCAAAAAACCTATCTCCAAATATGGCTATATTCTGAAGTCCTGGAGGTTAGGATTTCCACATAAGAATTTTGAAGAGGACACAATTCAGCCCCTAACACCCTCTTAGGATCACAAGAGGCAGTAACCATAGGATAAAAGGGAGAACTGGGAATCAGTAAGAAATGGAGCGCATAGGGATCAAGTCCCACTTGACGTTGATATTGTTTTTGCTGAATTTATTTCAATTGAATTTTCATTTGAAAGAGTCAATAATTTGCTTGAATTGCATAAGCAAGCTTAAATGGGATATTGTTTCTTGTGACCAAGGAAGCCAGGGAATGACTGTATTAAACTGTGATAGATATGTTTAGTTAACCTCCTAAAAGCAGTTTAAACATACTTTTCCACCCACAGTATATAAAAGTGCTCTGTTCCATAGACTGTCATTAATAAGAATTATTTATAAGGTTGTTTAAGCGTTGTCATTCTCATGAGTAAAAATCAAAATCTCATCTTTGTTTTATTTATTTATTTCTCCTGATTAGGAGGAGATTGAGCATCTTTTAGTTTGTTTATTGGTTATTTTAGTTCTTCTGAGACTGGCCAATTTACATCTTTCACCAGTAATTTTATTGGGCTATTTTGTAATTTTTTTATTGACCTGTGAAGTACTATGGAGAAAAGAAACATAAGCAAATATTTTCTCATGCCCTGTCACTGATTTCAAACCCTATTTATGATGATTTTAATTTGAATTATTAGCTCAATAACATTTCCAGTCTTTTTCTTTGTAGTGTCTTGGTTTTTGTGTCTTCCTTAGAAAGGCCATTCTCATGCCAAGATTATAAAAACTTTGTCCTATAATTTCATATATGTAATACCTTTATTTTTAGTTTTCTTTATATTTTGATCTTTAGCACATTTACAATCTATTGTGAACATTGTAATATAGAAAATATAATTTATTCTAATGGATAGTCAATTTTCCCTAAATCTTTTAGTAAATAATTTGTGTCTCTAGTGATTTAAATTACCTCCTTTATAATATATAAAATTATCATATTTATAGGTTCTGTTTCTGAAAAATCAGTTCTGTCACATTGATCTGTCTTGCTTATTTCTGTACCAAAATCACACTATTTCAATTAGGGCGGTTGTATCATAAGGTAAAATATTGTAAATATAATAATATAACTTTATAATATAATGTTTGAAAGAAAAATCTTGCCTCACTGTTATTTTTAAAAATTTTCTTGACCACTCCTTTCCATTTACTAGAAATCAGCTATTCTGGTTTCTTAAAAATCCCAGCGATGTAGTGGCAGCTTCTGTCCACAGGCATAGAGTTACAAGGAAATCACTTCCGCCCTTGCAATGAAAAAGATGGGCACTTGGGCTATTTCCACAACTTTGCAATTGTGAATTGGAGAGACGGGGAGAGGAGGAGTTTGTTCACACCTAAAGGGTGTGGTACGCACCATCTGGGGAATGGATACACTTAGAGCTCTGACCCAGGTGGGGTAAAGGCAATATATGTAACCTAAACATTTTTACTCACATAATATGCTGAAATAAAAAAAAAAAAAAAAGAAAAGAAAAGAGCTGGACTTACTTCAAATTTATACTTTTCTTGAACCCATTAGAGGGCTGAGGCCCAGCAAACAGACCCAAACGTTTCAGGAGAGAGAGGACCAGCAGGAAGAGAGATGAAAGCATTTACTCATCTGGTATAGTCAACAAATGCACAGTGAGAAAAGATAAGCTATTATAGAATAGCTTAAAAGCTGGTAAAGGCTGAGTGTGGACTGGCAAGACATCGTGAAACCTGTGGGGGCCATAGAAATTGACCAGGTCTTCTCGCAGCCTCTTCTTTTATGAACCCCACCTGGTATATTCACAGAAACATTTGAAAGAGGCTCATAAGGGTGTATGGTGGGGAAAACAGCTATGCCAGAGGGGCCTAACCCTAAGCTGTCTCCACTAAGGAACACAAGCCTGGATCAAAACTCATAAGGGAAAATCTGCATGACATTGGGTTAGACAAAGAGTTTTTAGAAATAGCAAAAATATGACCCACAGGAAAAAAAAAAAAAGAAATGATAAATTTGAACTTTTTTAAAATTAAAAACGTTTTCTACATCAAAGATCCTATTGAAAGAATGAAGTGACAAGCCACAGGCTAGAAATATACACACACACACACACACACACACACACACACACACACACACACACACACATTGCATTTCTAAGAAAAAACTTATGTCCAGAAAATACAAAAAATCTCAAAACTCAATAATGACATGAACAATCTAATAAAGTGAGCAGAATATCTGAACAAACACTTCAGTAAAGCTGATTAAAAGATGACAATTAAGCATATAAAAAGATGCATTAATAATAATTAAGGAAGTGAAAATTAATACCACAAGGTGATACCACTACAGCCCTACTAGAATGCCATAAAAACAAAAATGAAAGCAAAAAACCTGGCAATATTAAGCACTGAGAAGAAGGTGGAGCAACTGGAACTTTATAAGTTGTTGGTGGGAATTCCAAACACTGCAGCCACTTTAGAAATAGAAGTATGGCAGTTTCTCATGAAATTAAATATGTACCTATCTCCCGCCCCCCACACACAAAAAAGCTGTACACAGATACAGGGACTTTATTCATACACACCAAAAATTGGAGGGAAAAACACAAATATCCTTCAGCAACTGAATAAAAGACTGTGGAATATCCATACGATGGAATATTATTCAACAATAAAAAACAACAAGCTGTTAACTCACACAACAGCATGCATGAATCATAAATACATTTTGCTAAGTGAAAGAAGTCAGACCGAGAAGGGCATATAATGCATGACTTCATTTATATAATGACACCACAGAAAAGGCAAAAGTAGAGGGACAAAAATGGATGAGTGGTTGCTGGCTCTGGGGATTGATAGAGGGGTTGTCCACACAAGGGAATTAGTGGTAGATGCATGACATTAACATTTATCAAAACCTATAGAACTATAAACCGCAAGAGTGAGACATTCTGCTTTTTGTTTTTTGAATAAACTTTATCATATATATTTGAGGTTTACAATGCACTATGATGGGAGACATATAGATAATGAAATGGGTACTGTGGTGAAGGAAATTAACATATCTATTCTCTCACATAGCTACTTTTTGGTGTATAAGAGAAGTTAAAAATCTACTTTTTTAACAAAAATCCTAAATACAATTTTATAAACTATAGTCCTCATGTTGCACATGAGATTTCTAGACTTGTTCGCTGTACATATTTGCTACCTCACATCTTTTTACCTGCATTTACCTGCCATTTCCTCTGGCCTCCCTTCCCCTTGGTAGCCACTGTTTTATTCTCTATCTCTGTGTATTTGACATTTACCACAAAGAAAAAAAAAATGATTTCACATATAAGTGATATCATGCAATATTTTCCTTTCTCTGTCTGGCTTATTTCACTTAGCATAGTATCCTTCAGGGCCATCCATGTTGAGGCTAATGGCAGAATTTTCTTCTTTCGTAAGGCTGAATAATCTTCCATTGTCTATACATACATTTTCTTTATCCATTACTCTGTATACGGACACTTAGGATGTTTCCATATCTTGGCTCTTGTGAATAATGCTGAAATAAACATGGGAGTGAAGGTATTTTTATAAGATGATGATTTCATTTCCTGTGGGTAAATTCCCAGAAGAGGTATTGCTGGCTCATATGGTAGTTCCACTTTAAATTTCTTTGAGAACCTTCATACTGTTGTCCATAATGGCTATACCAGTCTACATTCCCACCAACAATGTACTAGGGTTCCCTTGTCATCACACCTTTACCAAAATTATTTATCTATTATCCTTTTGATAATAGCCACCCTAATGGGCTATGTCTTACTGACCAAGGTTGTAATTTGCATTTCTCAGATGATTAATGGCATTGAACGCTTTCTCATACAGATATTAGCCCTTCTTATGCCTACCTCAATGAAGATGTCAAGCTGTGCATTAAGTGATCATTTGTTCCAAATACATATTATTTAGCTGGCTGTTTTATAAATTTTAGTGGTAGTCCCTGTGTGGATAGTTGTAATGTTTGTATCAGAGAATAGTCTATGCTATCATCAAGACCTATAGAGACAAGCAAAGACAGGAGAAGATAAAAGTCTCAAAGAAACCATTTGTGAGATATATAACAAAAGACTAGTAACAATAAAACATAAAGAATATCCATAAATAAAATGATACATTGACAATGTTAGTAAGAGCAGCATAGTTTGTGGTGGCAAAAATTGGAAACAACCTAAATATTTATCAATAGAAAATAGGTTTAATAAAACACAAAGAGTGATATAGTCATACTATATCAAGTTGAGACAACCATTAATAGTTTCTGAGTCTCTCTCACTATTTCAATATATATAGATTAAATCAATAAAACCCTGGAAATGGAAGTAGAAAATTATAGCTTTTTGCCCTATATCACAAGATATTGAATAAATTATATCTTTTAAAAAAATTAGAAGTTTTATGGTTTATCATTTATATAGCACTTGCTATAAGTCTTTGTAATGACTACCATGAACCCAAGTCGGTTTGTAAGTGCCAGTTTGTCATAATAAGCAAACAAGGGACCTACAGAATATGGGCTTGACTACAAGGTAAGGTACATAGGATATAGGAGTTTTCTGTAACTTTCAGAGAGAAACAAATTTCCTCAGGAAGAGACTTGACAAACAATAATTGATCCTCAAGAGAAAATTTTGAGAAATAAAATAAAATCTCAAAAGCTACATGTGGCACTCCATGAGAGTGGTTAAGACAACAGCCAACAAAGCATTTCTGCTCTACCACTCACAATTATCAGATTACCAGCCCAGTTACCACAAATTTCCATCCATCTGCTCCACCTCCTACTGTTACTCACATATCAAGAGGGTTGATCAGTAATGTTGACTGAAGGCACAATACATTCACAATTCCTGAAGAGGTGAAATGGAAACTTATAAGATAGAAATTAACTGTGGTCTTTGTTCCAAAGACTTTATAATCTAGGAAAGACCCCATAAACATACAGGGCAATGCTTCTCTACATTTAAAGCACTTTAATAAGCAAAGATTGGCTGTAGTTCTGAAATCAGTAAAATGACCCATCAATGATCTGTAAGGGTCACTTTTCACACTGATGAAATAGTTAAGTCCTCAAACGCAAGAGCAGCTGTCCTCCTAGACTGTGTGCACACATCCCTTAACATATACAGACAATCCCTGAATTATTATGGTTCAACTTAAAATTTTTCAACTTTATGATGGTGTGAAAGCAATACGCATTCAGTAGGAATCATACTTCAAATACTGATACATTCTCTTTTTCACTTTCAATACACTATTCAATAGGTTACATGAGATATTCAACACTTTAATATATAATAAAATAGGCCCCATATTAGATGATTTTGCCCAACTGTAGGCTAATGTAAGTGTTCCGAGCGTGTTTAAGGTAAACTAGGCTAAGCTTTTCTGTTTGATAGTTTAAATGTACTGAATGCCTTTTTGAATTCTGATATTTTCAACTTATAATGGGGTTATTGGAACATGACCCCATTATACATCAAGGAGCACCTGTACATAAAGCTATTTACTCATTATCTTTGGAAGCAAGGTCATAAGCAATAGCCTTGGATAATTATTTTTTCACAGATTCCCCTTTTACTAACAGATTCAAAATTATGCCAAGCTCTTACTCTGTTGATTCTTCAATGCCTTAACTGCAAACAAAGTATGCTCCTCATATCAGTCTCATAGGCAACACAGTAACCCTACATCCTTATTTGGATGACCCATCTAGACTCTATTCTCTCGGATATTGATTTTTGCTCCACAAGTCAATCAGAGGAAACCTGCAAGTGGATCGTTCATTGCCTTTCTGTCAGAGCAGGTTCTACAGTCACACATACTCCACCACCATAATAAAGCCAACTCACAACACCATATCTTCATTCAGGAGGGAATAGTGACAGAATGTAGAATAAAAATGTGACATCCTTTGGGGTGGGGGTTAAAAGCAGGAAAAAATGGAATTATATGGGTCCAATCCATTAAAAAGCCTCAGAAAGATGTGTCACAATGAACTGGCCAAGGGATCAAGGTCAAAATCCTTCTCTCACATACATCATTCCCAGTCTCTGTGGACATATATAACCTTATATATCAGTAAGTATATCTCTGCCACCACCACCCCCTTGGTAACTCCAAATCTTTCCCTCTCATTCTTTCTTAGACTTATTCTAATCAGCCCTTGGAGCCCCCAAAGATTCCCCCACACACACACACCATAACTTTATCAAACATTTCCTTTCAAGATCACCAATGAACCCAATGTTGTGAAGTCTGGTGGTCAACTCAGAGTCTTCATATAGCTCTATAGCAGCATTGTGACATAGTTGATCCCACCTATCTTTTCAATACACTTCTTTCTTTTCAATACACTTCTAGTGGCTTCCAGGACACCAGAATCATATCTTTTCCCTCCTGTTCCATTGGCTACTCTTTCTCATTCTCTTTGGTGGCTCCTTCTCTTCTTCTCAACTTCTAAAAGCTGTGGCCCAAGGCTCTGTGTTTGGTTCTTTTCCCTTTTCTATGTATACTCACTTCCGGGGGGATTTCTTACAGTTTTGTGTTTTTAAGAATATTTATATGCCCAAGAGCCCTAATGTTTTTACCTTCATCCAAAATTTCTCTTCTGAATTTCAGGTTGTCTACTTGTTATGGCTACTTGGATGTTTAATATACAACACAAAATTAACAAGTCCCAGACTGAATTTTTGTTCTTCCCCTCTAAATCTGCTTCCCCTACAGACTTTCCTACCTCAGTTGTGGTGATTTTATCCTTTTATTTGCTCAGGCCACAAACTTATAGTCACTCTTAATTCTTTACTTTCTCTCCTTATATAGATTTATTCTGTCAGGAATTCCTGCTAGTTCAATTTTCAAAATTTATTCAAGATTGGACAATTTCCTACCATCTTCACTGTTTCCACCTTGTTTTAAAAACCCATTATAATTCCTAATCTAGACTGTTGCTGTAGTTTACTAATTGGCCTCACTCATGTTCTTCTTGCCCCCAAATTGCCCCCAGAGTGATCTTTTCTAACCTAAGTCAAGTCATAGTATCTTGAGGCAAATAATATAATCTCCCTGAACAGTGTATCAATTACATGAAAAATAATGAATTTAATGATTCATTGATCTAAGGGATCAATGACATGACAGATAAAAACCACTATAACACTTAGCACACATAGTATGCACTTAATTAGAGTAGCATGTTCATGATAATATTTTTTATGTCATTTCTGACATCTGTTGTCTCCATGAATTTAAGCTATTAATTATTTTCCAAGTTTTGGAGACTGCTACAGTCTGAAAATTTGTCCCCACCTACTTCATAGGTTGAAATCCTAACCCTCAAGGTGATGGTTTTGGGAAATCAGACCTTTGAGAGGGTAAAGCCATCATGATTGTGATTAGTGTCCTTATAAAAGAGACCTCAGAGCGTTAGCCTTCTGCCTTATGAGGACGTGATAAGAAGATACCTGTGCTTTGAACCAGGAAGTGGGTCTTCACCAAATACCAAATCTGCCAGTGCTTTGATCTTGGACTTCCCAGCCTTCAAAACTGTCAGAAATAAATTTCTGTTGTTTATAAGCTATTCAATTTATGGTATCTTTTATAATAGCTCAAACAAACTAAGACAGAGAATAGGATTCAAAGTTCTCTATATTTACAACCATGAAGTTACTGTTTGAAGGAACCCCAGCCCCTCATGGATACCATGCCCAGCCTATAAGCTGATTTGATGGGCTGTAAGAATTGCCAAGGGGCGGCCTAGAGATAGACATGCCTCCTCCACTGGTTTTCTTTCCAGTTGCAGTGCAGTATTAATGCAGGATTATGTGCTGTCATGTACATTTAAAACTTTACTTGAAAAGTAATGCACGGTTTAAACATTATACTGGCGTCTAACGCCTAAAGAATTACCGTTTTGCTCCCCGCATTTGTTCCCACATAGCATAGCTAGACATTTGTATGTTCGTCTTTGGCATAAACAAGAATGCCACCCACTATCTTATATAACAGTGACAGAGCTTTGTGGGAATCCTTGTTAATTAAGTCATTCTTCAAGAAGCCTATGCTCCTTGGGAAGGCAGTAGCTTGGTGATTTAAATGACGCTTCTAAGAAGAAACACGTGGCACGCGTTGCCCACCATAACCTACCAGCCAATCAGTTCTGCGCTCCGAGCCGCAGCAATTGTGAAATATGAAGCCCAAAGTAGGGCAGTTGGGTACGCGAGCGCACCACGTTCAGTTCTAGAACGTCTGCTGCGCTCACGTTGACGCCTGGCTGATTAGTAGAGGCTGGCAACGGGTCGCTTTAGACTGACGTTCTTTCTCTATGCATTTCATGTATTATTTGAGGGTTTTTACCTAGATTTCGGGGAGAAGTAAGGTGATAAACAGAAAAATCTTACCTGCTTGGGGGTCGAAACAACCGCTGGGGGTCTTTGCCCTCTTAGGAGGAGGGCGAAGCGGCCCCACCTGCTCCTGCTTCTGAGAGTACGCGGAGAAGTCCCCAGGTACGCGGAGAAGTCGCCAGGTACACCTTGGCGGATCCTGTCCACACCGACTTAGCTTTCTGGACTGTGGGGAGCTTGCCAGGAGCGCCCCAGCGCAGGCAACTTCCGAGATAAGCCGCCAAGGAATTGACGATGGACCGCTGTTCACCGGGAGCTGGCACTGGCGCACCCCAGCAGACCGTAGCAGCTGATGCATCTCCTGAGCCTAGGTGTCCTGTATGCTTGGATAGATTCCATAATGTATCTTACCCAAATTGCTGCTTACATAAGTTCTGTTTTCGCTGCATACGGGAGTGGTCCAAACAGAAAGCCGAGTGTCCACTATGTAAGCAGCCCTTTGGTTCCATCTTCCATTCTGTGAGGGCAGACGATAACTTCAAGGAGTATGTCCTAAGGGCTTCCTATGATGGTTCTGCTGTTCGACGACGTCGCTCCCGTACAGCTGTGACAAGGGAACGAAATGTGTCTGTACCTAGTGGTACCACGAACAGAAGAATGACTCCACCGGATACTGGAGTTCTATTTGAAGTGTTAGGCACTTCAACAAGAGGTAGGGATGTCGCAATTCCTGAGTTACTGAGTGAGTTTGTAACAGCGAGGCCAACTACTGCCCATGAAATATCTTTGATGACAGTTCAAGAGCAAGATGCTATTAATTTTAGACGAGCTCTCTATCGTGCTGGTGCTCGAGTTAGAAGTGTCGAAGATGGTGGCCGCTCTAGGGATATTTCAGCTGAGTTTTTCTATAGAAATCCAGCTTCCCTGCGCAGAATAGTCCCCTGGGTAAGGCGGGAACTTATGGTCCTTTTAGGAGCTCGTGAACCTTCAGTAGATATCGTCCAGCTCATCATCATGACCAACATTACTCGCTATGATTTGGAGAGCCAGGCATTTGTGTCTGATTTAAGACCTTTTTTTCTAGATCTAACTGAGCATTTTGTGCATGAATTTATCAGTTTTGCTCGATCTCCTTTTAACATGGCAGAGTTTGACCAACACGCTAATTATGATTACCCTGCACCTTCCAATGAAGAAAGCAGCCATTCTGACTCTTCGGTCATAACGATATCTCCAGATGAGTCTGAGACCCAAGAGCCAGATATGGATGTGGCCACTGTTGGTCAGGCACCATGGGATGATGAGACACCGGGACCATCCTACACAAGCTCAGAGCAGGCACATGTTGCTGTGTCTTCCCTTTTAAATGATTCCGGAAGTTCAGGCGAAGAACTGGTCACAGGGGGAGCCATGTCTCATGTACAAGGAGTACAAACCAACGAGGACTTAAATAATGACAGTGCTTCTTCTTCAAATGATTGTGTCATTGTTGGGTTTATTAAACCACTAGCTGAGAGGACCCCAGAAATTGTTCAGCTCTCTTCCGATTCTGAGGAGATAAGCACTCGGGAAGAAAGGGAGACAGTGGAGACACAAGAACAGGACCAGCCTTTCAGTTCTGCTGATAGTGATCTTAGTAGGTCTTCATCTCCGCTCTCTCTCCTTGGAAACAATGAGCAAATGAATGAAGGTCATCCTGATTCATCGGAGGAGGAAGAGGAACCATCTACGTCGTCCTCGTGTAGAGACTTGAGCTCATCTGTGAGAGGAGACGGAGTATATTCTCCAGACAGCCATAGATACGGGAAAAGGGGAAGATCAAGAAGTTCAGATTCAAGTTCCCAGAATAGAAGTGAGCATGATAACAATCCTAGAAAGCATCCTGGGAAGAGAAGAATGAAAAGCAAAAGGTCCAGAAGTAGGGAAAGTAGCCCTAGAAGGAGAAGAGACAAAAAGAGGTCCAGAACTAGAGACAGCAGTTGGTCAAGCACCAGCCAAACTCTATCTCTAAGTAGTGAAAGCACAAGCAGATCACAATCTCATAGTGATCACAGTAAAAGAAGGTCACGGAGCAGAAGTGGAGATCGTTACTATTTAAGAAATGATTATGGAAGCAGATCTATGTGGGACAGGGATGACTATGAATCATCTTACAGGAGGAGGCCTCTGTCCAGAGCTCATTATCGCAGCCAATCTTCAAGTCCAGAATCTGGAATTCAGTCCTTCTCTCTAAGAAACAATGCCAGGGAGAAAACTAATCCCAGTGAAGGACAATATAACTATGATGAAAGGCACAGATCGAGGAGCCTGTCTGGTAACAGGTCAATGACTTCATCTACAGGGCCTGAGCAGGGGAGAAATGACAAACCTGGAGGGAAACGAAAATACAAAGCACGGCATTTGGAGGGTACTAATGAAGTGGCTCAAGCATCTCGTCAATGTCCTTCTGCAGTAAAGGAGACTGATTACCAAAAATTTTCCTCAGAATTGGATGAAAACGACAAAAATGAGAGTGACAGCTTTTCAGACAGCCTATCATCAGATGCAGAGACAAAACGCAAGAGGAGAAAAAGGGCCCGGAGCCCGAGTGTAGAGGTAGTTTGCAAAGGAATAGCTACTGATACAACCATACATCACGAAAGGAAAAAGAAGAAACACCATGGAGACAGTACTTCGCAGTCCCCAGTTGTAATTACCATCGACAGTGAAAGCGATAAGGATTCTGAAGTAAAAGCAGATGCAGATTGGGACAATAATGGGCCTCAAGACCCTCTAGAAGATGAGTTTTAGGCTCCTTCCTTGGAACCATTTGAACTAAAGATGGAGTTAAAAGAGAAGATGAATTTGGTGTCCTGGACAAGGAGCGTCATATTACTGCACTTACTAACAACTTTGCATAATGCCAGAAAAACTGTGCATAGTATCCCACCCCCAGCAACTTCAGTGGAACAAACTCTTGATATAAGAAAAGAGAGCACATCTTCCTATGATTTGGAGACCAGCCCATCTACTAGAACTCAGTCATCAAGGCAATTGCCATCTCCACAGACATGATTAATGTCAGTGTCTCTTAGTAGAGACTGATATGTCTTAAAATTATCAAAGCAACTCATTGAGAATTCTGGCAGTATGAAAAGGAAAAAAAGGAATAATGTCATCTACTACAGTCTATTTAAGATGACTTTAGTGAAAACTCTTTTCCCCCTTATAATATTTTAAGTGTTTTTTTGTGTCTTAATTTGTAGAATTCATTATTTGTTCAAAAAGTGTTTATGTCCCACCCTCAGAGATATGCATTTTTAAATGAAGAAAATGATATTGCTAGCAATTTATTTAAAACTTAGGATCCTTTTTAAATAAAAATGAATAAATTTTAGAAGTTATTTCATATTGAATTTTGTTTTGTGAGAGTTGTTTTGGAAATGTGTTATAAGCTAGGAGAATCCCTTTGGACAAATCTTTATGTTTCTTCTTAAAAGTTTGTATGATTCAAAACCATTTCTTCAGGTTAAACTGAGGCATTTTAATTTATCTTCAGGTTAAACTGAGGCATTTTAATTTATACAGTTTATCTTGACTTCTGCCAAAAAAATTTTACTATTTCCTTGATATACTTGTTAATCTGTACTGCCGGTAAAACAAACATGTATTCAACAAAAGAAAAAAAAAATGGTACTGACTGATTAACATATGGTGCTCTTATGGTGGTAGTGTTCTTCAGGGATTAGGAGGTTGGGGGACGTAGACTCACAACTGAGGGACATGGTGAGCATTGTGGAGGGGAAGGGCACACCTCTAACCCTTGCTGGGGAGAGGCAAAGATATAAATTGTAACCAAAATGTACTCTTATAATTTCCTGAAATAAAAAAAAAGAAAAATTAAAACAGTAACACTTTAAAACAAGAATAAGAAAAGAATAAAAAAAAAAAAGAATTGCCAAGGGAAACTATTTTCTATCTCAGGAATAAATTAGAACATGCTAAGGCTTTCTACCAGGAAAATTAAGAGAAATGTCAAACCTAACTTAACAGGGAAAAGAGTTATTGGATTATCGTGGCTGCTTTCAGTGTAGGCAACCCACTCATAGAACACTAACAATTCACCTAGCACTAGCTCCTACAATCGCCCCAGGATCCTCTGTTGTAATATCCTGATTCTTCCTTCACCTCCATCTCCTTCTCCACACCATGCCCCTAACTTGTTTTTGTGACTTCTGTAATTCCTCTTTTTCAACACCTCTAATGATTTTCAGTATGTCATGTTGCCTTGTATCTTGCAAACTCATAGCTCGGGGTATAAGAAGATTCTTCCTATCCTCAGCTCTGCCCCATGCTAGTCTAAGCCCCAGTCCCGCTTGCCATCAGCATCCCCTTTGAGTTCTTAGAATGGAATACTGACAGGACAGTGATTACAATTTGATTTGTTCTCTTCCCCAGAAGAGGAATGCCTTCTTATTTTATTTGCATAACAATAATAATAACAGCAGCTAATATGTCTTTAGCACTTACCAAATTTCAGGAACTTCTTTCAGTGCCGTACATATATGAACTCATTTAATGCATATAAGCACTTTATGAAGATGGAAAATTGAGGTCCAGAGGGGTTAAGTATCTTGTCTAAGGTCTCGTACATAGTAAGTGATGGTTCTGAAATTAGAACCTGAACATTCTGCTCCAGCATTTGTGCTCTTAACCACTATACTTTGCCATACACAGCCTCATAGAAATAAGGTAGGTGTATAGGAAAATACGTCGCTTCTTAACTAAAGTCTTTGATGTTATTTACCAGGAAAGTTGATAATGGGACTCAATTGATTAATTCAGGATTAGAATTGACTAGAATTGGTGAGTAAAACTGAACAATCACACTTCACAGTTGGGAAACTGAAAAACAGAAGCCAGAGCTTTATGAAGCTGATGAATAATCCTAACACCAATATCAATAAAAACTTGAGCAATTTAAGACAAATTCGAATGGCACGAAAGTTCTTCGTCGTGGTGCACCGGGCATGTGGTAGCATGTAGTTCCAAGCATGACAGACATCTGTGGGTGTAACTGTTAAATCATTGGAACCAAACTGAGATAAAGGCAGTGAGTAAATCCACATTGTATGGTGAGGCATGGGCACCAGCCGTGATGGGGCTCAAAAGCAACGCGTCAATAAGGCCTTGCTGTTTCCCTAGATTGTGTGCCCATGCTGGTGTCTAATGTTTGCTGGGGAACAAATTCCGCCTCAGTGGTTCTTAAAGATTCTCGTCAATCAGAAATTAAAAATCTGGGTAACACTAAGAAAGAAGACAGACAAGCCCTAAGTAAAGCCATACTCTCCAAATAGGATTATATTACAAACAATACTATAAATTGAACCATCACCACACCAGTGCTTTACTTCAATGTATTTAATCCCACAAGAAACATACAAGACAGATTTGCTTATCCCTGTTCCATGTGAGGAAATGCAGGCTCCTAAGGGACTAACTCAGCCAAGACTTCACAGCTAGTAGTATTAATGTTGGATTCAAATCCAGTTTTTTATGGCCTCAAAGCTTATGCTCTTAACCGCCAAAGTATTGAGAAATAACAGTTGATATCAAATACAATTCTTTTGCCTTATATGCCTAGAATGCTGAAGCAAGGAGGTCAAGAATTTCTCTTTGAGAACATCCATATCATTGTCTCCATCCATGAGCACTTGGCAGTAATTGTGTACAACCTTTAAGAGTAATCTTCTCTTTTTACCTCTACTGCATTCCTTTTACTCTCCCATCTATAGCATAAGCCAGGTAGAATAGGCAGAGCCTAAGAGGAGTTTGTAGAATTAAAATACATCCTGAAATGTCATTGACTTAAGCTATTGTGATCTGCTTTTATGACAACCCAGGCTAAAACAGATGTAGGCTCTGTGTTCTTGCATGCCATTAACATGTTTCCTAACAGACTAGAGAAGGGGCATATTGATGGGTTTAGCTTGGGGGGAAAGGGAGGGAGTCTTTGACCTTTAGGCAGTCTGTGACTTTTTACACTGACGTCAGGCCTCCCACCCAAATGCCCTTCGAATAACCCGTTCCCAGGCAAGGTAGCGTGAGAAGAAACTAAACGTTGATAGGTGACATTTAGAAGTGTCCTGAAAACTATGTGGAGAGAAAATGACTTCTCAGACTTCTCCTGTGTCACTATGGTCTATATGTCACCCTCAGAACATGTTTGAGAGCCTCAGGCTGTGGCAAGCTTATTGTGCAGCTTGGCACAATGCCGTGATTGTGTGGCTATCGCCCCCTTAAGATTCATATCACAGGCAGGATATGAATATGTCCCAAGCAGGGTTTGACAGCTGTATCTGGGCTTTCTAAATCAGAGATAGAAACAGATATGATCTGCATAGCCTCCTTTTCGTGTTATGTTTCCAAGTGAGTGGGTTGCCTTTCATGTTACACAACCAACCCCAACAAGTTACCCAGCCTTGCACCTCACACAGCCTTGCCCAGCCCCGCCTTGCTGGCCACTGCCATCTTTCTGTAACCATTTTCCAAGATACTGAGAATCACGTCCACATCCTGAAGACCTGATAGGTCCTAGGGTGCTTAGCAGCCTAACAAAGGACAACTCTCAGTTACATATTAACAGAAGAAGGAACTCAGGCTCCTGGAAAATAAACAACACTGTTCTAACAAATTCAAAAAATATCCCAGTATCGTATAGGCCATCCATTTATTCAACACATATTTTTCTGGGGTGGGTTCTCCATGAGCTGGGCCCAATAGTGGATGCCTGGGGGTGCCATGTTAAGCAATCACAATCCTTAGAGAGCTTGCAATGAGGGTAACAATCTGATACAGAGAACCTCAATGGAATGTAATGAGAGGTAAGCGAGGAGTACTATAGCCAGGCAAGAAATAACAAGTGAGGCAAGTGTATAAAAATATTCTCTTATTCTCTTCAGTAGGAGCTAAAACAGATAAGATATATAAACACTGAGTGGGTTTATCAAAAGCAAGAGCCAGTGAGTCTTCCCCTTTCTTCTCATACCAACATGATTCATAACACGAGTCCATCTCCCAGATAACAGGTTGTACCAAGGATGGACACCTGAGAGAAAGACAATTTTGTGACCTCTATGAGGCTAGAAAAGACAATAATGTATTAGAAGGCCTGTAACACCCCCTCCCAAAATATTATATGAACCAATCCAATTCTCTCTCCCTCTTAGGAAATTTAACTGAGAAATGAGAAGGATTTGTCAGTTGGTATTGGGGGGCAGGAATAGAACGCACCACTAGGAGTGTGGCTATGAGCTGTTAATAGTGGGTACGTGACTGAGTCTCACATGGTTTTTCTAAAATCCCAAACGTGTTTGCAAATCCAGGGTCTCACCCGGAGCTTCCGTTTCCCGTGAAGCGTGGCTGCACTTCCTCTCCTGTCTGTGGGTCCTCGTGAGGTCATGGCTCCCTTATCAATACTCTCCACAGCTCTCCCTGAGAGGAGCTAGCCTGAATTTTTTGTGTTCCTTATAATGAAGGAGCTCAATAGATGGGCCTGAGTGAAAATAATGTCAAATTTAGTCAGTTGAAATTATTTTTTTAATTTATCAATTTTTGTGCAAAACCACACAAATAAGTCAGTAATCTCCAAATGAAATTTTCCCCAATCCCACCAGACTCCTTCCAAGAAGCCAATATAGAGTGATCTCTACATCTTTCTTTAAACTTAAAAATATTATACATATTAAATACATAATTATATACTCATACATAAGGTCTTTTTTGGTTTGTGGACATTAAATTTATAATATATTTATTTTAAGCTCTTTCTGAGACTATTTAGGGATGGTTTCATGCTGTTAGAGCAAAAAAAAAATGCTAGATTTGATTTACAATTTTTTCACTGTTTCTCCATAAGATTGTATAGAAGTCAACTCAACTTCAGCTTTCCCTGAATTAGAGCTCCCACCTCTTCATTAAAGACAAAAGGCAATAATGTATCTTTGTGTTTGGTGTTGTCCTAAGTAAATTTTTAAAATTCCATGCTTTTACTATAGATGCGCACACAGCAAATAAATAAATAAATAAATACCTGGCAATAACCTAGGAGTGGTAACCATGTGCTCAGCGGAACATAGTTAGAAAATAACACCTGCAGCCCCACCCACCCTCACACACCCAATACAACAAGATAAAGACAAATACAAGGCCGGGCGCTGTGGCTCACGCCTGTAATCCTAGCTCTTGGGAGGCCGAGGCGGGCGGATTGCTCAAGGTCAGGAGTTCAAAACCAGCCTGAGCAAGAGCGAGACCCCGTCTCTACTATAAATAGAAAAGAAATTAATTGGCCAACTGATATATATA